GCTTTCATAGATGGGCCACAAACACTTTGCTAGGGCACCTCACAGGATGGCCGATTCGCTGAGAATGGGCAGCATCTTCCTGAAGACAGGCAAACACAGACAGAGAGAGATGTCAGCTGGGGGGCCTTCTGGCTGCTCCTCGCTTCGTGTGTGGCCTCTCTGTGTGAGCGCCTCTCTGGTGCTGTTGTGTTTTCGGAAAGGGCATGGGCCGTTAGCGACCCCTAGCACCACTCAAGCTCGCAACTGTAAACACTCTCTGATTTTGAGAGCTTTTTCCCATTGCAGGGGGGCGGCGAGGCGGCTGATGTGCTCAACTAAACCCTAATTATGCGTTGGGTTTGTGAATTTCGTGAATGCGCGTGTGCAGGAGTACACAGCAGACAGGCAGGCACCTTGCCACACACGGATGTGCGCTGGGGTGGGCTGTGTGTGCAGAGAGGGGAGAGAGAGAGGGGGCGGGGCGTGCACTGTGCATGTGCCTCTCTCTCTCTCTCTCTCTGTGTGTGTGTGTGTGTGTGTGTGTGTGTCGGTCGGTGTTGGTGTCCATAACACCCACCATACCACATTGTATGTGTGGTTGTGTGTGCACCCTATGCTGTAACTTCTCACAGTTCACGCAGCTCACCGTCACACGCATCGATCCCTCCACCCTCTCTTTGTCGGTCTGTCTGTCTGCTGTCTCTGTCTGAGTGTCTGTTCCTCGCTGTTTGTCGGTCTGAGGGTCTGCTTGTCTCTGTCTGAGTCGATTGACACCGATCACTCCTTCATGAGCACCGGATGCCCCAGCTTCTTCCAGACCTAACGCACACAGATACACACACACAGTGCAGGAGAGAGAGTGACACCCACACACAGAGGCCATCGTGCAGCAAGACTCTGTCCTCACCTGTCGTGTCTTGCTGTGGGGGATGGGCAGACCGATGTCAGCGCAGCTCACGTAGCTGAAGTGTGGTTGCCGGACATACAATGCGGTGACGTGTGTGTGTGTGTGTGCCCTTACCCCTCTCTGTGCGGTTGTCCGTATGCCCTGACGAGCACTGACGCGCCCTGAGTGTGTGTCCTGACGGCCCCGTGTTGCAGGATCACCACCTTGTCGCCAACGGAGCACTGCAACGCCGGAAAGCACACACGCTGAGACCACACACACAGAGGGGCATCCACAAGTACACAGTGTTGGTTGTCTGTCGGGCTTGGCCACTCACACGAGACGGCGGGTTGAGGATGGTGACGACGTTCTGGCAGACGACATTCTGTATCTCACACTCGGACCACATCGGCATCGGACACACACACGTCGGCACCCACCTGCACAACCATTGCACATCGACATATATATATGTGTGTGTGTGTGCTGGCCTCACCCAGATAGACGAGAGGTGGCGTGAGTTGCGTATGTCCACTGCGTTGTGGTGCGCATGTGGATGACGAGCTCATCACCAGCGCAGCACGACATCTGACACGCGTGATCGGCCTGCAATCGGACACACACAGACAGACAGACCGACCGACATGCACGTCTTGTGCGTCATGCTTTGGTGACCTCGAAGCTCCCGATGGCTTGTGTCACGACGGGTGTCTGCTTGTTGCATGACTCCAGCCAAAACTCTATCTCACTGGATGGATGGACAGATACACACATACATACATATCCATCTCAGCCACGTCAATGTGAGTGTGTGCATCTGCCGGCTGCCGGCTGCCTACACCGAGTCGGGCGGTGCGAAGACCGTGTGTGCCGGATTGCTCATCGGCGCGACCTCCACCTGCAACACACACACACACATATGGGTGTCGATACATGCGTTGGGGGTGTGTGTGTGGCTTACCGCGTGCATCTTGATCTTGTCGTTGGCAGCGAAGCACAACTCGAAGGCCAAGAGGGCGGGTGGGGCCGTGTCGATGTGTGGCGGGCAGTCGGGGGGAGGGAAGGGCACAGACGAGAAGGGCGTGGGTGGGAACGACAGCACATCCTCCGCCTCCTCAGCATCATCAGCATCGGACGACGAGGCCGACACGCCGTCGAGACTGTCGCTGCTCTCCTCGCACTCCACCACATGGGCCACCGAATCCCTGCGACACACACACACACACACATGCATGAGTAGATGCGTGTTGCCGGTGGTGTTGCTGTCTCACTTGGGTGTGATGAGATTGTCCTGGGCGATCGTCTGAGCCATCGAAGGCTTGGCTGAGATCGCTCGCGTGGGGGACCCCGACACGTCTGCGCCAGTGGCCTTGCCGCCACCGCTGATCAGACTGTCACCCGCCTGATGGATGGATGCATCCAATGCACCAAGCGGTGAGTGTGTTTGGTTGTTGGTGGCCAGTGGGTGGGCTGACCTCCTTGGCGCTCTTTGTGGGCGACATGGAGAGATCCGGCGACACCCGCCGCTTGACCCACTCGTAGATGTGCTTCTGATGGATGCAGTTGAGTATGAGGCGATGCGTGGGGAAAAACACGAGAGGTTTGGACGAGAACAACACAGCCTCAGACACATCTGATGCATGCCACAGTGGATGCCTGTGTGGATGGATGGATGTGTGTGTCTGTACCGAGCAGCGTGGGTGTGTCTGTGTGATGCATGGTGACTGACACGAGACTGTCGAGGAGGGACGAGCAGCGCAGCGTCGCCTTGTCGGGGTCGGCGTGATCGTGTGTGTCGAGCGAGAGGACAGGCAGGCCCATGCACTTGATGCACATGGAGTCGTAGATCCGGCCCGACTTGACGCGCTTCTTGAACGACCTGGAATGGAAAGACGCCACACACACAGATGCAGACACACACAGATGGAGACAGACAGAGATGCGTGTGTGTCATTCCATGTCTCACTCACCTGGCCTTGCGCTTGGTATGCTCGATCAAGCCTGAGCACACACACACACAGATTAGCCTCCCATCCGCTGTCCACCTGAGCTGTCTCACTGATGAGTGACGGCTGTTGGGTGCAGTTGAGCGTCACATTCAGAATGAATGAGAGAGGAACGCTCACTCATTCACTCATTCACTCACCCGTTGCCGGCGGAGCCGACTTTGTAGGCGGGCAGTGAGGCACGGCAGTGACTCGCACAAACTGCCCGCCGCCGTCCGCCTCGCTCGACACGACCCGCACCACAGAGCTGCAGCTGCTGCTGCTGTCGCCACGCGACGACACGCTCAACCCACACTCACTCATCGTCAGTGAACCAATCAGTGCACGTGAGTGACGTCAATCAATCAATGCTGTCAACGAGACACCAATGAGTCAATCAATTGACCAATCAGTGAGTCAATCAATCAGTGAGCCACAAGTGTGTGTACGTACGCACGCCTACATATATATCACAACACACGTACAGTACAGTATAGTACCACCAAATCAACAGGCGAGCGGACACTCATACACAAACAAAGAACACCACAGGCAGCTGCAAAAAAACACACATTCCCCACCACCACACTAGCTATAGTACTTCTCTTGCTCAGTCACACCCGTTTTCCCGCCATCAACATGCAGCACCAAGCCCCTCCCGCCCCAACCAACACACACCACCACCCACATGCCCATCCTCACAATGGTTTCACCTCATCCATGCAGTCGTCTCATCATGCATGGAGGCGGACCGTCGCGGACAAACCGAATCAAGCAACCGCAATCATACCTTGCTGGAATAAACGCTGAAAGCACACCCAAGAGCCGCAAGATCCAACCCAGTAGCACAGTAGACTCTTCAGCCCCAGCCGTCGGGAGCCCCAATTGCAAACTGCCGGGCGGCAGCGTACCAGCACGACCCAGCCATCACTCGAGTCCCATCCCTGGACGCGCAACACACACACTGTCACGCACCTTCCTCTCCACATTGCTGACATACGGGGTAAGCCCATTTGACGGCCATTGACCAATCAAGCGCACAACGACGCCATCGCCAGCAATGCCATCTGCAGTGAGAACAGACAGACAGACACACGGACAGACACAGACAGCCAGAAGTCGTCATCCATTCATCTGTCTGTCTGTCTGTCTGTTTGCTTTTGTGTTCATGCCTCACCGTCAGCACGTCAGCAGGTGCATCCTGCACTGGCAGTGGCGAAGTGACATTCTTTTTGAGCGCGCAGGTCTGCAAGCTTAGCTCGCAGCCAAAGGTGATCTCGTGGAGAAAAGCCGAAACGAATTGGTAGTTCAGCAGGAGTTCACCCCGTTGAGAGATTCGTTGAATTTCAAAGTCGCCTAAGAAGGCACGAGACTAACGATGCCGCCTGTGCCTTCAGGCGCCTCATATGGGCCCATCCGACTCAGCGCCATTAAAGACATCGGTGCGGAGAGGACCGGCCCGCGCATTCCTATACGCCATCTTGGCCTATCTGTCCCACCTTGACTTGTGTGTCCGTGTTCTCTCTGCGGGTGTGCAGAGAATCTGGCCCTGCAGCCAGTACCGGTGACTCATGCGCACGTCAAGGCGACAGCCGACACGCGAAAGGAGAAGCCAAAGTGGAAACGAAACGACGCTTGTGGTACGACATATGGACAACCATCCACACATGGCGATTACGGGTGTTTGTGTGTGTACAGGTGGTTGCACCAAGTACAACAACTTTGATGACATCAAGCTGACTTCGCTGACCGAAAGGGCGGCGTTGGTCGAGGCCGCCCGCTGCCTCAAGTGCGCCGATGCGCCGTGCACAAAGGGATGCCCCACACAGATAGACATCAAGGTGCGGTGCCTCACCCGCTGTATGCGTTTCCGTGTGCGTGTAAGTACTTACCCATCTCCCCCTCTCTCCCTCTCTGTGCGCTCGTGTGTGTGTGTGCGCATCCTTGTATCAACTCCTCAGCATTTCATCCAGTGCATATCGACCAAGAACTACTACGGCGCGGCCAAGACCATTCTGTCAGACAACCCGCTGGGGCTCTCATGCGGCATGGTCGGTGGGTGCCACCCACCCTCGCACACGCACATGGGATTGCACAGAATTGCAATATTTTGTCTGTCTGTGTGTGTGTGTGTGCGTGTCGCATCCATCGATGGTGTGGGTGGTGTGCTGAATGCAGGTGTGTCCGACGAGTGAGCTGTGTGTGGGGGGGTGCAACCTTGCAGCCACAGAGGAGGGCCCCATCAATATCGGAGGACTGCAGCACTTCGCAGTCGAAATGGTTAGTCGGTCGACACACACAGTCCAATGAAGGAATGGGTGGTCTGGTCGCTCCCTCTCTCTCATTATCTCTCTCTGTTTGTTTGTGTGTCAGTTTATGAAGATGCGTGTGCCGCAGATAAGGGACCCCTCTCTGCCGACCGACCTGCCGGACTCATACAGACAGAAGATCGCACTCGTCGGCGCAGGTCAGCCACACGCACACACACACGGGGAGGGGCTCACACACAGATGTACAGGCATACTCTGTCTGGTGCGTGTGTCTTTGTTTGTTTGTATGTGTGTGTGCAGGGCCCGCGTCGCTCAGCTGCGCCAACTTCCTGGCGAGGATGGGTGCGTCATGCCATGTCACATGCGTCAGGGCCACAAGTGTCGCTGTGTCTGTTTGTGTGTCTGCATGTGCACACAGGCTACTCGAACATCACTGTGTTCGAAAAGGACTCTGCGCCGGGCGGGGTAACCTTCCTTCCCCCCC